TGATATGAACAGCTATTTTGAAGAAAACAAGACATAATAGCTAGTGCTGATTTAAAAATAGCATGTTTTGAAGTCCCATCAAACTGTTGTTTTTCTGTCTCTTGTCATGATGTATCTTATTGGATTTTATTGTGTGATAGTATAAACAAAACTTTTTATAAGCAAAGAGATAACATAGAAACCATTGTTCGTTTTCCGTTAGCTAGTTCTAAATACCTTGTAATACTTTCATCCTCTTGAATGATTTCACATTGTCTTGATGTGTTTGATGCTATAGTATACGAAGTTATACTCAAATATTTCAAGAAAAGAGATACTATGGTAACTACTATTAAGTCGGGTTACCTTGTGGTGAAACATTATGTTGCTTAAATTGTTCTGTTCTGACCTGTATAGTTATATTGTTATGTGCTCTTTTATCTGTCTCCCCCCTTTTTAAAATTAATTTATTTTTTATTATTATTTTAAGGGAATTTTTTAAAAAAATTAGCAGAATATATTATAGTAACTTTTTTGATTTCCTATTAAGTCGATTTCAAACCTTGTATTGCTTTCACTATCTTGTTTTGACTGATTTTACTCTATTCTGTTCTGTTTGATATTACCAGTTTTGAATGTATAGGCAAATACTTTGAAGGCACTAAGATTCACTATGAAGCCCATTCTGGTTTGACTATTATTTTCTTTTGAATTTCAGTAAAGTCTCCAATGTTTAGGTTTTATTGGTTTTGTTCTGTACTGTTTTGTTCAATTTTATTATTTCCCTAATGATATAGGCAATTCTTTTTATGATAGCAAGAGGCATTATGGTAACCATTGTTGATAACCTTGTATTCTGTTTTTACATCATGTGCATGTCTATCCTTTGTTTTGACTGACTGTTTTGTTTTGTCATATTTGGTTTCATTCTCTTCCTATAAAAAGTAATAATAACTGGGGGAGTAATAAAACCCAAAATGTGTAAATGTTATTGTAAGAAAGAGAGGAAAAGAAAGTGCTCTAAAGGACACAACTGCAAGTGTGTTTAGGTGTGTAAGATAGATGACCAAATTACTAAGCTTTTGTTGGATCATTGAACACAACTGTTTGCAGTTTCACTGTTTGAATGTCTCCTTTGTATGTTTAATTTTGTACCTTGATCAACTATTTCTAAGTTGACAATATGTAATCTATTAACCAGTGATTTCTTACTGTTTTTTTTTTGAAATTCTGTATTACTTGTACTCTTTTACTGTTTTGTTTCTTTTTTCTTTAAATTAAAAAAAGTATATTGTCACTTAAGAGATTTTTTAACAAAAAATTCATTTTTATTTGTGTTCTTATTTTGTGTAATGACCCTATGTTTTTGAAGTGCTTGATTCTTACAAGTGAAATTATATGTGCTTGACTCTTACAGGTGTGAAATTATGATTGCATGTAATCTGATTAATAATACATTATCACTCACAAACACACATGTGGAACATTGATACTACACTGTGATCAGACACTATGATAGAAAGTATCCTCTCCTTCAGGTAAAAATAAAGAAGAAGGAGAATGGACTTGCTGTGATGATCAGGTGTGATCAGATAGTCCAAAAAGGAATAAACATTTTTAAAATTTCACCTTTGTTAGAAATAAATGAAATATATGTCCTTGGATAAATTCTTTCTTTTGAATTCTTTCTTTTGAAAATAACAATATCCATTCCCTAACAGTGTAAGGGTGATTAAGTACCACCATGTATTCAGATGTATCATGTAAGCTACAAACTTTTTATTGTAGTTGGCTGAGAGCTAGAACATGTTTTGGTTTTTTTTTTTTTTTTTTTTTTTTTTTTTTTTTTTTAAGATTCAGGAACTTTCACCTAGTTCACACAGTATTTTTCCAAGATAGATAGGTATTCTGTCCCATCCCATTCCTCCTTGTTCATTTTCAAAGAAGCTGGATGTATTAAATATTAAAAGATAAAATAACCCATGCTATAACCAAGTTTTATGAAAAAAACTTATATATGGCAGACTGCATGGAGTTCTTTTTCACATATAATTTCTTTAAAGCTACCTAAAAGTTTTGGATAATGCATAAATAGATCATATGACAGAAAGCACAATTCTTTGTAAGAAACTTCTTTCAGCTGGATTTGCTTATGAGAATATGCTTATTTTTCAACTTGAAATGAAAAAAAATTGTTATTAACCTAATACACAGAATTTGAGATAAACTCAGATGGAAGTAAAAAAAAATGTTTGCAATGGAAATTAATGAAAATTTTATTTCTCTTCTATGACACATTTCAGTGTCCTCTTCTTCTTTTGACTATTAGGGTCCTATCTTGTCTTAAAACTTGAGGGACAGTAAGTCTTTCTCCTATATTGATATAAATTTTGTCCAGTAATTCGATATGGAGTCTTAGCTGATCTTGTGATTGATATTTTCCTTCATTTAAAAACATTAAATAATGGATGGTTATTCTAACAATGCTAATAATGCTTTTGTTGTATATTTAGGACCATAAAATAGAAGTTCTGTTAGCAATTAAGCAAAATGCATTTACTTTCGGAAACAACACCATGCTCAAATTTCCTGAATAGTTTAAGATTTATGCTCATCTAGTAAGATAAACGTTTCCTTAAACATTTTGAAGTACTTTTGAAAATTATTTTCTCCCATTTTAACCAATCAAAAAACTCTTTATGATATATTTTTAAGATAGTAAGTTTTAAATTACATTTTAAAAGTAATTTTCATGGACGATGAACAGAGGGTCATAGCTTCAATATATTTCCTACAGATATATTCTGAATTAATATGTAAGGAACAGGAATATTGTAACAACTTTGATTTTCCAAATTAAAAGGAATTAAAATTCTGGATCAGTGATTGGTTACTTTTACTGCATATGCAAAGCCCTAGATTTGATCTCTGACATGATCAACCATGATCTTTTTTTGTACATTTGTGTATGCATGGTTTTTTTGTACATTTGTGTATGCATGCATATATGTATTTAGTCCTCTCCTGTTTGCAATCCATAATAATATCATTCATATCCCTTGTGTGATGTTGGTACCTGTACATAAAACATCTTAATTCTTTTCTTCATCCCTCTCCCCTTCCCTCTTTCATCCCATGATCTCTTGATCCCTTTGAGAATGATCTATCTCTCTAAATTCTATTATTTGTCTTTTTAAAAATCTTTTCATTTTGTTCTCTATAGTTTGGGAAGCTTAAATATTGCTTGGTTTCTTTTACAGTTCTATACACTTTTCTTTCTCTTTGTTTTTCTGGAGGTTCTAGGGATCAAACCCTTGTGTATAAAAAACAAGAACCCTACCACTGAGCAACATCCTCAGTCCTATACTTTTGTAATCTTAAAGGATAAATAAACAACAGGGAAGAATGCTGGCATATTTGTTTTTATAGGTGATCTGCCTTATTAAATTCACACATTACACAAACACATTCATGCATACAAACCTTGTAGTTCAAGGCCCAGTTTATGTACAATGTTAGGAGATGCTGTATTTCATCCATTTATTCTTTGAAATTTTCTTTATAGTTTTTCTGGTTGTTCAAAAGTTTGGTTCAGTTCTAGTATCTTACTGCTGACTTTTTATCTAGTTGATCTATTTGTGACAGTGGAGTATTAAGGCCCCCCATTACAATTGTACTAGTGCTTATTTAATTTTTCATGTCTATTAATAATTGTTTTGCATAGTCAATGCACTTGTATTTGGTGCATATATATTTATGGTTGTTATTGCTTCCTCTGCACTTTATAAGGATGTAGTGACTTTCTTTGTCTCAATCAACTTGGCGTGAAATCCCATTTTTATGCAAATAGAAAAGCTATCTCTACTTTTTGAATATTGTTTTCCTTCCTTTGACTTTCAGCCTATGCACTTCTTTTTTTAATTAAATGTGTTTCTTGTGTGTAGAACATTGCTGGATTTTGCTTCTTGCTTCATTCCAACAGTCCTTTAAGTGAAGTGAATCATTTAAGTGAAGTCCTTTATGTTTAGTGAATCAAGACCATTAACATTGATGGTTATAACTGGCATATATTCATCTGCCCTTGTTCTGTTATCCTGCTGTTGCTGACTCCTTTTTTCCCTACTGTGTTCAGTGCTGGTGGGTTCATTCTGTAGTGGTTCATGAAATTGTAATCCTTGTTATCTCTTTCTCGAATATCCTTCAGAATATTTTAGAGTGCTTGTTTTGTGTTCCTGAATTCCTCAGGTTTTCTTTGTCATGGTGGTATCTTATTTCTACATCAGTTTTGAAAGATAATATTGTGGGGTACATCAGTGTGAGTTGGAGGTTGTTTTCTTTTAGGGCTTGAAATACTTCAAAGTCTTTTTGACTTGAGAGTTTGTGTTCAGAAGTCTGCTGTGATTCTGATAAACTTTTCTGTATAAGAGACTTGTTTCTTTTTTCTAACTGCTTTTAATATTCTGTTCTTGTGTTGAATTTCTTGACTGTTATATGCCTTGGTGCAGATTTTTTTATGATCGTGGCAAATTTGGGTTCTATATGCGTCACTTATATGTTTGCCAAATTATTTTTCTCTGCTTGGGAAGCTTTCTGCTAGGAATTCTGTTAACAGATTTTTAAAATGTTATTAGCGCTATCTCCTGATTTTTTCATTGACTTTAATCAATTTTATGTTACTCTTCCCTGCATCATCTGCTAGCTGCTAGCTTGATTTCTCGGGTTGCTAGCTAATTTTAAGAAAGCTTTCTTTTTACGCTCTTATCTGCAATCCTGTCTTCTGTATTTGAAATTCTGTCTTCGTATTGGCTTGTTCTACTGTGCATACTTTCAGTGGAATTTTTAATGAAATCTATTTCATGGATTCCATTACTTTCATATGTTGGAGATTCAGTAGTTTCCATTATTTTCCTAAGGTCTTTTTTTAAAAAAATCTGCATGTGCTATAGAGAAATTAAGTATGTTTTTATTATGTTCATCATCTCTGTATTTATCTGAGATATCTTTTTTTTTTTTTTTCCTAGAACCTCTTTCGTCTGCTTTGTTGGTTCTGCAGCTACTTCAGTGTCTGAGTGGGTGGCTTTTGGATTATTATACCTCATTGCCCCACTGGGTTTGCCTCTGGTAAGCTAGAATTCTGGGGTTGCAGTGTTTTTTTGTGTCTTCTCATTTTTTTTTTTTTTTTTTTTTTTTTTTTTTTTAGTTTAATCCCTGAGTTGATGCTTGTAAATTGCCTATGGTGAGTAACTTTATTGCTAGTATTTAGAGCCCTTGGGTAACTATTGCACGGATATGTCTTCCAAGTGTATCTCCTTTTAGAGTTTTGAGTCTGTTGCAAGGCTCTAGTTCTTCAATTTATTGGAGATGAGAAGTTTCTGTCCACGTGTCTCAGCCCTGATTCTTGGGCACTGGCCTAAATTATTGTTTATGACCCTGAGATAGTCACAGTTTTGGTACAGTGAGAACAACTGATTAGAATGAGTATGTCACCTTGGCTAAAGTGGTACAATCAGCAGAACAACAGTATCAGACACAGCCTAGAAAATGACAGGCTGAGTTAATTATTAATTTGCCACATTTAATTGTATGAAGTAGATTTGTGATTATGTATCAAAATCTAAAATGAACCAGAACATTGCTCACAGTAAATAAGCTCTCAGTGTGTGATGCTATCCTTAGGGGAAAAAGTTTAGAAGGAGGAAAGAGGAAAATAGAGGATTAAAAGGAAGAGATTACAAGCAAGACTGGAGGACAAAGGAAGATCACACAAACTTTGAGAAACTGGTGAAGAAAGCAGGAGTGAAAGAGAAGGAAAAAAGTAGAACAGAAAAGATCAACAACATAAAAAAAAACTAGAAACATGTTCACACTCATAAAAATAAGAACAAGCAATCAAATAACAATATGAAACAAACAGAAGAAAAGAGAAAAAGAAATGAAGAGAATAAAATAATAAAAAAAGCGCCATTTCAAAGTGTGTCACTGCTGACACTGGTAAACACCATGGGCTGACAGATTCCAGATTGGTGTTGATTAATCCCAGCAAACCTTCTATAAACTTATAGCAGGCTAGTGGGTAATCCCAGCAAGCCCAAACTTTAGTTCCACTTAAGTTCAGGATAGTTTCTGGCTGTAAAGCTGGAACACAGGTTTGTTCAGCCTGCAACAGTCTGTGTGCCTCCTGCCAGCTTGAACTAGACTCCTTCTGGTTTGAATTTCATTATCTGACCTCCTGCCAACTTGAAATAGGCAGCCTTACGGGGTCACTGGAAGCCACAGATAGGTGCCAGCAATCACCCTCTCATGGGAGATGTCCAAACCCAAAGAACTCAACAGCCACTGTAGTGCCTCCATTCACACCTGCATTGCATTGGAGCATTTCTCCACAGAGGCCTTTAGGGTAGCCAGTGGTCACCCTGCATCTTCAGGTTCAAGCTGCCTCTCCCATGCAGAGTCTGGCTCAGGGAGAAAGTACCACCCGCCACTTCCTGCCTCTTTGAAGACTCTTTGCTCAACCTGTAGTCTTCAGTTGATGCTTCAGATCTTTCCTGGGCCCTGAAAACCCACTTCTGTCTCTCCTTGTTTCCTCACATTGCTATATTCTGGTGTCTGGATATCAAATCTCAGAGAGGCTCTTTTGCTGCAGCTTACCATTGCACCATTTTCCTGGGAGTGTCAGAAATTTTATGTTATAAATGTACATCTATGTTATATTTTTGGTTAAGTTGAATAAGATACATAGTATTCGTTAAAATTTATTTTTATTTTGAATATAGATGTCCATTGTATTAGGCCAACTTGTTTAAAAAATCACCTTCTCTATATTACCTGAGCACTTGTTTTGAAAAACAATTTATGAAATTTCTGTTAGTTTGAAGGTAGGTTCTTTAATTTATTTTATTAATTTACCTTTTTAATTCAAGTATCATAACATTTCCAGTTATTGTAATTTTATTCTGCATCTGAAATTAAGTGTTGTGGGTTCCTTGTTATTTTTCATAATTGGTTTACTATTATTTTCTTTTCATTTCAACATATACTTTAATGTTATCTCTACAAAGATGTTAAGCCTTATGACTGAAATTGAGAAAGATTTGCATCTTAAAATATCTTTAACCCATGAACATTTTATATCTTTTAATTTGCTTAGGTTTTCTTCGTTTTTTTTTTTTTTTCTTAGCCAATATTTTGTAGGCTTCAGCATAGAAATCTTTAATATGCTCATTGGATTTACCTTTAACTATCTCATATTCTTTCATATTTTAAAATTTTTATTTAAAATTGTTCTCAGTAGTAATAGAAATATAACAATCATATTTGTAACCACTGTTTATCAAGGTCAGATATATTCAAGGTTCTTTCATTAGTATATGTTTGTAATACATAATGAATACATCCATTGTGAGTAGTTGGTTCATACATACATTGCATCTCATCCATTTTAATTCCCTTCCCCTCATCTCTTTCCTTCTCCCTCCATCCATAGATTCTCATCTAATCTCCAAAAGTTTCACCTCCCTATCATCTATCTTTTGCTCTGCTCTTTAAATTATTTATAGCTTTGCTTTCTCATATAAAAGAAATGATGCAATATTTACTTTTATGTGTGTGTTGTGTTTTATTTAGCACTGTTTTCAAGGTGCATCCATTTTCCTACAGATGACTCAAATTTATCTCCCTTTATATCCAGTGTGTACATGCATCACATTTTCCTTACTCATTTATCTTTTAATAAACAGACCTCTTCCAAGATTTAGTTATTGTGAGTTGTTCATGTATTATTGTAATATGATGTTTTTAACAGTTTTGGAAAGATATCCAGAAGAGGAAGAGCTGAGTAAAATTAATTTTTAATTTAGGTTTTTGAGTAATCTCCGTAGTGATTTCCATATTGATTCTATTAGTTTATATTCTGACTAGTGTGTAAAAGGGTTTCCTTTTTCACTCACAACCTTGCTAGCATTTTTTGTTTTGGAAGTTTTGTTTGTGTTAATCACTTTTTGTTGGGTAAGATAGGGTCTCAGGGTTTTCTTTTGTTTTTCTTTATTTGCAAAGTTTTTAATAATTTTTTATATACTTATCAGTCATTTGTACTTCTTTTGAGTATGAGAATTATCTGTTCTTTTCAATTGCGCATTATACTTCAGAATTTCTCATATGTAAATTCATCACTGAAGCATACTTTTTTTTTCCTTTTTTTTCCCTGTTTTTTGTTCAGTTATCTTTAAAGCCAAGGAACTTTTTATATTTTTTTTCTTTTAATAATCTATATATTTCAATATCTTCTGTATTCCATTGCCTTAAAAAGAACTGTGCATTTTTGTCATTGTTTCTCATATGCAGTAAAATTTTGTGCAAGCTTCTTTATACAAATTGCTATGAAATTTATATTAAGAAGTACCCAGTAGGAAAGCAGTTATAAAAAATTATGAAAAATAACAAAGTAACTCAATTGGTAGTATAATCAAAATTAATACAATATAATTACAGTAATCAGTAATGGTTCTTCCTTCTCTGGTTGGTTCCAAGGTTCTCTTTATAAACTTCTAAAATTTAATCAAATTATTATGTTACTTAGTATAGTTCTCTTAGTGTGCCTTAAGTGAGTTTCTTTGATCTGTGGACATACATTCTTCTTCAAATTTTAAGTATTATTGTCTTTTAAAAATATGTTTACTGACCAGCATGATGGTGCATGTGTTTAATCCCAGCAGTTGGGAAACTGAGGCAGGCGGATTGCTGTGAGTTTGAGGCCAGCCTGAGTGAGTTGAAGGCCAGCTTGAACTGCACAGTGAAACTCTGTTTCAAAAGAAAACAAAAACATGAAAATACGTTTTCTGTAGACTTTTGTTCACTATTTATAAATATGTATACTAATTTAATTTATGTTTTCCCAGAGGCCACATCGGTAGTTTTTTTCAAGGTGTTTTTCCTCTGCGTTCTTCACTTTGGGTACCTGTATTGCTTGCCTTCAATTGCACTGATAGTTTTCAAAATGCCTCAATACTTAATCTGCTGTTAAAGAAAGTAGTTACATTTTTAGTTGTGGTGTTAATCTATTTTAATTCTAAATATTCATCTCGTATTTTATTCATCAATAAGTGATACATTTATTCTTAACCTTGTGCTTTTTTCCCCATGGGTCAGTTTCTAACAAATTTTGGTATTTAATTTGTGAACTCAGATGTCACTTTAATATATGGCTTTTCTAGACTCTTTACTGAATGCCCTGGGTGTTTAATGAAGTCTTTCTACTCTAACTGGGAAAAAATCTAACATGTGATAATCTCTGTATAATTTCAAGAAATCGGTTAGCTCCCGGCTGTCTCTGAGAGTTCTTGGGAGTGACGCACTATGGCAGTGTGGGCTCCGTGGTGTATGTTGTCAGAGAAGCAAGATGAGACTCTGGGTAGAGTGTTTGAACTCTTCTGTGTCACTTTTACTCTGGAATCCTGTCTCACAAAATCTAGCACCCTAGTGCCCCAAAGTGAAATTTTTGTCCTTGCAGTTCAGTAAGATTCCCATGAACTATTCTTTCCTACAACGGAATGACCTCAGTGAGAAAGGTACAGTTGGTACTGATTATCATTTGTTGTTCTTTCTGTCAGGCGTTTTATTCATTTCTACTTGGTTTCTAATGCCTGAGAATAATTCTTTAATAAATATTTGCCTTATCTTATGTTTGTTGACGTTAACAGTGGACATTTCATTATTGAAAACTCTTTCATGGCTGTAAAATAACATATATGCTGTTCAGTCTTTACTTAGTTTTTGATTTGTGTAGTCAAAATTACTGGTTTCTCAACCATACTTTTTAACTTTTTAAAATAACAGCTTTATTGAACTAAAATTTGAATACAGTTTACAAATTAAAGTAGATTTTGGCATATTGACAGAATGGTGCAGTCATGACCACAGTCAAATTTCAATCATGTTTTTAATCCTCCAAATAAAAGTATCCACTAACTACCATTTCTCACTCTCTGAGCCATCATTTTGGTGTTAGTGTGTTCTCTGTTCCTTTTTCCTGTTTGTCGTGGCTCTACCTACTTACCTCTAACCTTCTTTCTTCTTCAGTGCCCAGAGTTTCTAGGTCTTTTCTGGGATGATAGGTAAATGCCAGT